AGAAGAGCTCGGTTTCTTATCATAGAAGAGCTTGGTCTCTTCTCATAGAAGACCTATGGCTCTTCTCATAGAAGACCTATGGCTCTTCTCATAGAAGACCTAAGGCTCTTCTCCCAAAAGACTTAAGGGTCATCTTAAAGTGTTCTCGTAGAAGATCTCGGGTTTTCTCATAGCACACCTCAGGGACGTTTTGTTGTAGAATACCTTAATAGAAACCCTCATAAACGTCTTCTAATAGAAGACCTCAGAGACGTTTTCTCGTAGAAGACCTCAGAGACAGCTCCTTACAGATGATTTGAAGGTCTTGTGAGCCGCATTTTAAGTCCAAACCCCCTTTTTTTAAATATTCCCAGTTATTTTATTTCAATTTTCATTTTCTCATCCATTTTTAAAAAATACTGTCTATGTCTACTACATAAGATCGGCAATGGACAAAATGACCATTGCATTGCTCATAGAAAAGACCACATCTAAAAATGTATTGCCTAAACCACATCTGCGGCCATAAATTGTTTCTTAATGCAATATTTATGGACTTTAACCTTCAAAATAGACATCATACTGTCTGCATTTTTAACAAATGTGGTTATTTATCTAAATACACTCTAATGAATATCTACATATGTGTGTGTATTGCTCGTGCAAGAGAGATATAATATATAGTAAAGTTTTAAAAATAAAATACGCATTCTGTAGGGCAATCAGTTCCATATTCATACATATATGTATGTAGGTCATTCCTTGAACAGCCAGTTTATTAACCTTGATTTTATTTATGGCTCTCCTTTGATATCTCTCAAGTTGGCCATATTTGTCTTTGGAATGTTTTGCAGAATCACTTGCAAGAAGAAGAGAGAGAGACATGACCGCATGACAAACATTAAAATGCTGAAATGCCTGGCCGCCTTTAATAGAATAAATGTAAATGTGAATCCGATTTCTCTACAATACATCCACAGCTGTGGATTTGCAAAATAAATAAAAAATAATAATCGGTAAGAACTTTCCTTAGTTGCCTTTCACCAAGAAATTTTCAAATCGAAAAGATTTTGTTCAAAACTAACACATCATACCCCTCACTGACAGCGTAGGGTATAAAAAGGCGACCATCACATTGTGTGTAAAACGAGAAGGAAAAGTATCACACAAATAATATATGACTGTCATTTGCCGTAACAGCAAACTCTGCCTAAAAGGGGGGAGGGGAGGGGCGACGAAATCGGTGAAACTAGGTTTCGAAGGCAAAGAGCAGACATATTTCATTTCTTTGCCGTTAGTTTTGGTGTTGCTTTTGAGGAATCTATTTTATTGTCAACAAACAGCTTACATTTGTAGTGACAGACACAGACACGCACACATATGCCCTCATGGGTCTTCTTCTGGTATATTTACATTTCACAACTCACACAATCATGCAAATGTGCGTATCCTTATTCCTTATGGTGACATCTTTTTTTCTTGCCACAAATAACAGTGTGTGCGTCCGACAACATTTGTGTTGTATGGCAAGAGGAAGCTTTAATGCCACTACTTAAAGTTTTTTTCCTACAACCCAACATACCAAAAATACAATACAGCTTGAGAACAATATTATAAAAATATAGTTTTTCAACAATGCTTGAGAAACACTTATGTTCCACAAACATTTCTCAAATCTGTCCCTTGTTGACAAATTAGTTTTGATTTTTTGTGAAAATTGTCAGCAAGAAATTATTTTCTTTGGCAAAAAACAAAATCATGCGAATTTAGGACCCATTTCTGGACCGAACCCTTAAGGTATGGATGAATAATAAATCCGGGAATCTTTCACATAAATTATTCCAATCCCATTTCAGATTGGGATCATCAAAAAAGTTGAAGGAATTCAATACATGAGATACAAGAGATGCGGAAGTTCAAATAAGGGAGAAGAAAACGTCAGGGTATCAATGCCACATGAGGCAGTGACTACTGGGATGTCCATCAAGAAAAAAAATGTGAAAAATGATTAAAAATTAAAAAAAAATAATATTATATACTATTATAAAAATAAGCTTATTATAATATTATTTTTGTAAGCTTATTCTACAATTTCAAGTATAAGCTTAAAAATAAGGGTTCCGTTTCGATTATTCTATACTTGTTACACAAACATTTTTCAATGTTTTCTCAAGATTTTCTCAAGCTTAAGGCTTATGTTCATAAGCTTATTGTAATATTATTCTCAAGCCATTTTGGTATGTTGGGAACGGGCAAATGACACAAACACACACAAGAGTACCGAGACAAATGTAAATGTATGTGTGAAATTGTGTACGTGTGCGTTTGATATGCGTTTAAAATAAGCCTTTTTCTTGAAAAGTGCGAAACTTTTTATTGCACACACTCACATTTGCATTTTGTTGTGTTGTGCATGTATGAGTTGTTTGACAAAACTTCAAGGCAAACTACAATGACATCTTAAACATCAACACCAACTAACACACACACACACATACACGTATATGCACAGCGACAACATCAAAGTCTAATGAAAGTTCTCTGCCAATGTTGAATGAATTTCAGACATAAATTTTATATTTGTGGTTTTTATGGTTTTAAGAATGTTTTCGGTTTGTAGGATGTGATATTCGATGTACAAACAAAGTTGATGGAATTCTATACAAAGTATTGAAATAAATTGCTACACATACTATGTCTTATTGAACCAAATTTTATGGATAGAGGGATTTTTGGTTCGAAAAAGGGTGATCTACAGGAGAATCATTTTCGAAACTTACAAGGAAACCTAAAAAAGTTCTCTTTGGTCGAACATGTGTCATGCCAAATTCTGTAAGGATTTCTGAATGAAATACAACTATACTACCTAAAGATTTCTTAATAAGTAATGGTGGGGGGGGGGGGAGAGGGCGGCAATTTATTTGGTATCATAAAAAATTAAAAATCGCATCGAAAAGCTCAACTCGAAGCTCCAGTCTAAGGATTTGATTTAAAGACAAATAAAGCTTTGTTTTGAAAATTTTCTCAAATATCTTACAAGTCTGCTAGTCATACAAAGTGTATTTTCATTTATAGGAGAAGGTATAGGTCTTCTATACATAAAAGACTTCTTATTGTCCTTCTCTACACAGAAGACCTCCTACGTGTCTTCTTAACACAGAACTCTCCCTAATTTTTTTTCCACACATAGACTTCTGTGATCCTTTCCAATATAGAAAATTTAAACCTCATTGCTGATGCATCTATTTATTAAAAATATCAGATCTCAATTTAGAAAAAAGACGAGACTGCCGTTTTCTCTATTCAGGCATCCCCGATCATTACGGGGAATTCCTGCTTACTTCGGGTTTTGAGGGGATTTGGGATTTGTGGTCTTGCATACAATAACTCGCTTTCCTCTATAGAAATACCTTACGATACTCTAAGAGGAGATCCTTATGTCTTCTTGGAGAAGACAGTAAGAAGAGCCCGAACACTTCTATAAGAACAGCCTGAGGTCTTCTATCAGAAGAACCTGAGGTCTTCTATGGGAAGAGTCAATGCTCTACAAGATGAGCCTGACCTCTCCTATGAGAAGACAATGAGGTCTTCTGATGTCAAGATCCTAAGCTCTATGGGAATATTCTGATGTCTTCTTTAAGAAGAGTCTTAAAAAGAGTCCATGCTCTTATGTCAGAAGAGCCCGGGGCCTTGTACGAGAAGGGTCTGAGCTCTTCTACGTGAAAAGGCCATGAGCTCTTCAATAAAAAAATCTGAACTTTTGTACCAGAGGGCCCTGAGCTTTTCTTTAAGAAGACACTGAGATCTTCTTAAAGAAAACCCTGAGCTCTTTTTGAAGAAGACCTTAGATATGTTATGAAAAGGGTCTGAGATGATGAGAAGTGTCTGAGGTCTGAGCGATGAGAAGTGTCTGAAGTCTTCTTGGAGAAGAGTCTGAGCTCTTCTATGACAAGGCCGTCAGCTCTTCTATGGAAGGCCGTCAGCTCTTCTATGACAATGCCGTCAGCTCTTCTATGGAAGGCCGTCAGCTCTTGTATGGAAGGCCGTCAACTCTTCTATGGAAGGCCGTAAGCTCTTCTATGAGAAGGCCGTAAGCTCTTCTATGAGAAGGCCGTAAGCTCTTCTATGAGAAGGCCGTGAGCTCTTCTATGAAGAGGACGTGAGCTCTGAACTCTTCTATGAGAAGACACTGAGGTCGTTTTGAAGAAGGGGCTGAACTCATCTATGCGAAGAGCCTGAAAAGAGTTTTATTTACACTTCTATGAGCACTATGAAAGCAGCCTGAGCACTTCTATGATAATAGCCTTAGCTATATTATATAGACTCCCTGTCCTACGGCTCGTCTGTATAGACTCCCTGTCCTACGGCTCGTCTGTATAGACACCCTGCCCAACAGCTCGTCTGTATAGACTCCCTTGTATTCACCACGTCTATTAGAACTCCCTGGGCATTAACTCGCCTATATGGGCTCCCTGGCCTCCAGTTTTTCTATAAAGCTCGTCTATATAGGCTCCCTGGTCTCCAGCTCGTCTGTGTAGACTACCTGAGCTCAAGCTCGTCTTTATATACTCCCTGACCTCCAGCTCGCCTTTTTATACTCCCTAGCCCACAGCTCGTCTTTATGGATTTCCCAAATCGAGGATTTCTCTCGCCCTCTTCAAAGATAACTTTTTACAATAAATACCTAAATAAAAACTGGTCTAAGAATGAAATATTTAAAAACAACTATTTCCCCAAAGTAAGGCTACCCTCAAATATTAGGTCATATGCAAAGGTTATATAACTGAAGGCACGCCGACTGAATCTTCCGAACATCAGTTTACTTTACTGCGTCATGAAAACATCAGAATGTAGTTGAGGTGTTTTTTATTAAATCGAGAAGTTAAAACTCCTTTGACCTATACTAAGGGTTTTCTTTAGGTCAGGAAACCTACACTCTTTTCTTAAATCAAAAATATAGAATATAAACAATGAGGACCCAGGATCAGGCTATTCTGACCGGTAAAGAAATGTTCAACTTACCTTTAAAATTTCTGAGATATTGATGTAGTTTCTGCAATGAAAAAGAAAATGTATTTTATTATCAAATACTCGATCTATTTGCCATCTGAGAGATTGGAAATTTACAGGAATTCAAAAAAACCCTTATAAGTAGAACCTTAATTTTTGGGCCAAATAATAATTACCGAAAAAATCAACAACGAATCAACAAAATATTTTCCATTAATGAATAATTAGCAGATCCCTTCATTACTCCAAACGATTTAGGCACCAATTATTGAAATTCAAAATACATTCGCTTATATATGAGAACCATAATTTGCCATAAGTAGCACACATTCGTTCCACTGCAATTTTTCCTGACTTCAAAAACAACTTTAGCAAGAGAGGGTTAAGAGTAAATCCCGAATCATGACACACATACATAGTTTGTAGCATTTTTGTCCGACCTATTTTCTTCGCGTCATAGTTTCATAAACAACAATTTTTCACCAGTTTTAAAAGAAAGCAAAAAAAAAAAAGAAAAACATTTCTTGTTTGTTACTGCAGCAGCAGTGAGTGTTACATTTGCCAAAGCTCATAACTTTTTAGCTCAAGTAGCTTAAATAAGCTAATGTTGCCACTTCTACTACTACTGCTGCCGCTGCTGCTTCTGATACTGCAGCCCATGAAAGCCCGCCAAAGTACCAGCTGCAGTTTTATACGCTTTAATTTTCCCTCGAAACGTTTAACATTCATTGAAGTGAGGGAGCTCTAGTTGGCTGTTGCCGCCCCGGCTGATGTGGTTAAAACAAAAGACGTCTATTGTGGAGCACAAATTGCACATTCAACCACACATCCACCCAAAGCAGATGACGTCTGGAGAGTGCTGCAGCAAACCAAAAATAGTTTGGTTGTTCTTTTCCCCGTTTTGTGGTATTATGGAAGTTAAGAGAGAGGAGAGCACGCTTTCCCCCAACTCCTCGCCGGGAAGCTCGAAACTCCACAAACGCAATTCGTTTAGTTAGTCACTCAACCAGGCATTTATACCGGCCAGGAGGATACAAATGTTGTTGGAGTAGCATTACTTGAATCGCTTGCCTGTTTTTTTTTTTTTTTTTTTTTTTTTTTGGTTCGGAAGTTTTACACAAGTTTTCGGGATTTATTAGAGCACCCAAAAGTATGCCACGAGTTATGTATGAGAGGAGCACTTTTGCAACTCTCATGTCTGTGAGGTTTTTTCTTTGTTCTTTGGCTTTTTTGCGAAATTTGTTAAATGTGCTTTGTTTTTGAATGAAAATGGGCAAAATGCGGGGATTACATTTTGTGATAGCAGGTGTGGGAATAATCTCTTTTTGGACAATTGCAGAGATTATTATTTACGATTCCCATGTGGGATTTTATTTGAATAATTAATTTTGAATAAAATGAATGAAAACAATTTATATATGACTTTAACGTGGCTGAGGGCATCCTCATTCAGTCCCTCAAAACCTATTACCTATTAACGTACCTGATTGTTTCTGGTATGGTCTTGTGCTTGAAATCTCTTGATCTCCTCAATCAATGTGTATTAAGTAACCTTTAATTTTTTTTTTAATTTATTCAAATTGCCTCCAATCCAATCCTTCTTTAACATTGGCTAACAGTAAACTATTTCAAAATCCTACAAACTGAAAACCTCATTTAACCTGCATTAATTTTAACTTGAAATTCCTTGAGCAAAAAAGAAACTTAAATTACATTTCACATGCGCTCGGAGGTTTCTTAAGGTTTTTTCTTCCTCTGTTTTTTTTTTGTCTGAATAAAAACAATATTTATTGTTTGAATTTAACATTTCTTGTCAATGCTTAGTTACGACAAATGCGGCTCTAGGTCGGGTCGCATGTGTTGACTTAATTTTGTTGTTTTTTTTCTAATGTCCGCCTTTTGAACTCTTTATTTTAAGGTTTTTTCCTACTTCATGTTAATCTTACGTGGCATTACAACAAAGCGTCTTTATTGTGTAATGAGCTTAAGTATGAAAGACAACAGTCACGGGCGTGGGGAATTGGGAAGGGTGCAAGGTATGCAAAAAGTTAAATTTTTTTCTTCTTTTTTCTTTTGGGTAGGTTCCGTAGGAATAGACCAATATTGACCATTTCGTATCGGACCTAAAGAAATATGATATAAATATTGCGGCGTGCCAGGTTTGGACTATATTGTCATAATTTTTGGTAATGTAATGTGCGTGAGGTATCAGATAAAGTCGACCGAAGTATTCCATTTTCATACTTCATCTAATACAGATAAAAGTATGGGTGTGGGAAAAATTATAAGAAAATCGAACATTTATATCCAATTTTATTCGAAACCATAAATTCCATATTTATCTCAGGTTTCTGGTTGACAGATAAAATTATTGAAATTGTGACTTTCTGTGAGTTAGGTACCAGAAGGGGTTCGCAGATATATATCATCTTCACAACAGATTTTGTGTTGATGGATATATTGTAACGTACCAAGTCTATATAGAATCGGATGTAAAATTTATGACCTTCATGGATACTCAAAATGTTGATCCTTTGTGTGTGAGGTACTAGAAGAAGTGGACAGACATATCCCGATTATTTCGGATTTTATAATCGTTTTGGTTATTCAAAATTTTGAGCTTTTGTAGGGGAGGTACCAGAAGGAAAAGACCTACCTCTACAATCTTTATAACAGGTTTTAATTTGTATCGGATCTTAATTTGGGTTTTATGAGCTTCATCGATATTCAACATTCTGACCCTTCGTAGGGGAGGTACTTGATTGAGTAGACCTATTTGCAAATATTAGACTTTACAAAGTTGGAGCAACATCGGACTATCATTTCTCTTCCTATGCACTCAATTACAGGGTGAGATAAAAAACTACAACAAAGTCTAAGACCATCATTTTTACATTTTTTAAGTGTCGGAAATAGCATAAAATTTTAGAATAAGTTTAGATTTGTTCTATTTGGTCACCTTTGGCACGAATTAAGGCCTTCAAAAGCCCAATGATACCGTCACACGCTGCCCGAATGTTGCTCTGCGGTATTTTGGTCCACTCCCGGAGAAGCGCTTGCTTGAGGTGATCGACACTTTGTTTTTCGGTGCGGTGCCAACCTTGCTTTCCAAATTACTCCAGATACAATAGTCCAACGGATTGGTATCCGGAGATTTTGGTGGCCATTCTGCGCTGGAAATGAAGCGAGGAACCTCATTTTGTAACCATTCTTGGGTGGCCTGTCTTGAATGCCATGGTGCTGAGACCTGTTGGAATGTCCTAGGTCTGCGGCCAAAATGTTTGCGTGCCCAAGGCTTTAATACACCCTCCAGAATATTTTCGCGATAATATTCGGCGTTTATTCTGTTGCCACGGTCAATAAATACGAGCATAGAGAGACACCATTGGCTGTTATGGCGGCCCACACCATCACCATGGCCGATGCTTGAGTTCTGGTGGCCAACCGAAGGTGCACATTTTCAGCTGACCTCTTTTGCAAGTAAACACGATCATTTTGTTTGTTAACAAACTGCTGGACTACGAATGTTTTCTCATCGGCGAAAACCAAATTCGGCAGTTCACCACTTTCGGCAAAGCGAAGCAACTCTTTAGCTCTTTTGAGTCTATTTTCTCTCAGTTGCGGTGTAAGTCCTTGCACTTTTTGGAATTTCAATGGCTATAGCCCGAGCTCATTTTTCAATGTTTGCTGAATGGAATATTGCCATATGTTCATGTGCTCACAAGCCATTTTTCGGACACTGCGACGCGGGTTTCAATCAAGTCGCTTCTTTACTTTTCGAACCATTTCTGCTGATGTTGCTGTTTTCTTCCGTCCATTTCCTTGACGTCGGGCTACGCTACCAGAATCACGGTAACGAGAGATGGTACGAGACACAAACGGTTTATTCACATTTAAATGCTGGAGTGCTCTAACGATAGCCACTTGTGGTTTTCCAGCCAAATATAAAGAATAACTCTTTTTCAGGAAAATTTTCACCAGAATGCTTTTGTACGCTTGTAAACAATACAATGAGCTGTCACTGGAATCATTTTAACAGCTGTCGGACGAGTGGCTTAGATATGAAAGCAGTCTTAAGTTGGTTGCAGTTTTTTCATCTCATCCCGTATTTTCTTGTAAAATATTGGCCTTTTATGGGGAATTACCAGAAGGAATGGACCGATATTGATATAAAAATTAAATTTCGGTACGAAATGGGTTGAAACGTCCAAAATTTCACAATGGTCCCCAATATATAAACAAAATAAAACTACTAAAATTTACAAAAAAAAAAATTAAAAATCGGAAATGCAACTTTGATAGTCTTAAAAATAATTTTGATTAAAAAATACGATAAAATGATTTTTAGTCCATAAAACAAATATTCTCAACAAAATTAAATGGCAGGAAAAAAAATATTTCAAAAACATTTTCTTAAAAATATTATTTTTGTTGGCTGTAAATTTCCTGAAAAATAATCAGCAATGATATACGTCGGTTAACCTTATACATTTTTAAGTTTATTGTATCTGACAGGACTGAATTTTTCCAAAAAAAAAAACATTTTTTTTCAATGGTCATAATACACCTGACCACAAACTGTCCCCGCTCACCCTCCTCACACACACTCATCCAATCTCATATAAATGACTTATATTTACCGTCATATTCACCTTTTAAATCTCAACACTTTTAATGCTAATGACTTATTTTCTCTCTGCTTTGCTGCTGAATGTTTTCTTAGCGTTTTGTTTTTTTTTTTTTTTTTCAGCTGTTTATCTTTATGGCAAAGTTCAAGGCTTGAGTTTTGCTTTCAGCGCAGCACATTGAGCATGAATGCGCTATTGTCTCTATGTAAATGAATTTGTTTTGTTTTTTTTTTCTTCATCTTCTCGTTGACATTCAAACAAAAGCAAAACGTTAAATTAAATAAATAATTGCATTACATTGATGTGGAGCTGACAATGTAACCTTTGTTTTTTGGGGAAATGTCAACGATTTCATTGTAAAAAAATAAGAAATAATAAGAAAACAATTACAATTCTTATTACAAGTGAATGTGTG